CTACTTCCCCCCCCCGCCACCCCCTTAACCTGTCTGCCTTTTTTCCCCTACTCCCCCCCCCCCCCCCTACCCGACTTGTAAAGCGACCTTGGGTTTCCTGAAAGGCGCTATAAAAATATTATTTATTATTATTATTATTATTATAACACACAAGGGGACGGGTGATAACCGGAAAAGCATGACATGGGCCCTTTAAGATTTGTCAGGATTAGACACATGTTAAATACAACAACATTCAATCATCCTCCCTTTTCTTTTCCTTTGGATCAATGTCCTCTGCTCTACTGAAACATCAGAGTTTAAATGTGTGTGTGCGGTAGTGAGGGGGAGTTGTGTATTGGGCAAAGTGCAAAGGTTTCCGGGACCCTCGCTGCAGAAATGATGGGGGAGGTCCGGAAGAAGCAGCATTGTTTTGACAACTCTCCTCTCCCCTGGGGCTCAGAGCTTCTGTTGGTGTGTGTGGTTTTCCTTATTGGGACTGAACTGGCCTTGAACCACGAAACAAGTGTTGACCACCAACTACGGGGGTTTTCTTTGTAAGTTTCTATTTCCTGGTTGTGTTGGTGTGTGTCAAGGAAGGTCAGCGGTTTTCCCATCGTTAATCAACCCACCTGATCAAGGGGAGCTGTTATCAGTTGAAAGGCAGTAGCAGAAAAAAGTGTCTCTTTGCTTTTTCTTTGTCATCACCTATTTTAATACAGTCCCTTCCCATTTAAAGATTTTCTCCTTTCCAGGCCAAGGTTAATGCCACAAACCGGCGGTGATAAGATAAGGCTGAGGGGAGCTTGATATCGCACATGGTGCAGTCCCCACAGCCCGAGGCTTTTCAACAAAGAGAGCTCTGGATCTGGCTGCCCTGGGTGCTGACTGACAGGTTTACACAGGAGGTTCAGGGGGAACCTTGTCAACATAATTAGTTAACCAGACTCTACTATGAGCGGCTTTGTGTTTACTAGGATCGTGTGTTTGCGCTAACTAAAGTTAATGTTGTGTAGTATTATTACCTGCAGAAATATGACTACAGTGTTTTAGAGCTTCAACACATTTATCTTAGTTTTTACATTCATTGTTGTGAAAAATCCCCATAAGAAGGCGCCCTCTTCAAATTGCTAGTTTTATTTAACACACTAGGGCTTCAAGATTTGAAAAAAATAAACACATGTAAATTATTCTGACTGCAATCATTTACATGGGATTACGGTAGTGAGGGTTGAGGATCTTTCATAATAGTATTTGAAAGATATTCTTAAAATGATACCTAAAATATATATTTGATTCATTTTGTGGACACAATTTGTTGTTCTTTACATCTATGCAGCACCACAATCCCTAATCAAGATGAATTATTACACATCCTATTGAGATTCCTGCAACAAGGTATTAACAGATAAAAACTGCAGATCTGCTTATTTTAAAGACTGTAAACGGAGATTAGAGAATTAAAACCATTGTTTTGTTATCAGAATAGCTGCGATAGTGTCACCTCTACAAAGTTTCCAGACCTCCCAAAGGATTTGGTGTTGCTTGTGTTTATCTACTGGGGATAAGCAGCTTATTTAATGTGCTGAAACATGCAAGTAAACAAAGGGGATTTCCCGTTGGGCCATTATCGGGGCATTTCTTGTTCCTTGTTTTGGCCAGCCAGCTTGGCATTGTTCAAAGGTCTCCGGGCTAAACACAGATTTTAGATGGCACAAAGAATAGTGGAACTTCAAATGAGAGAAAAGAACGAAGTGTTTACAGTCACCCTGTAATTTGCATGGGTTTTATTCAAGGTAATTGCTTGGTATCCATTATCCACTAATCTTGGATACATTGGATTATTTCTACATGTGCCTGTAGAGCCTGACCTAAAGGGGATGTGTGTGTGTGTGTGTGTGTGTGTGTGTGTGTGTGTGTGTGTGTGTGTGTGTGTGTGTGTGTGTGTGTGTGTGTGTGTGTGTGTGTGTGTGTGTGTGTGTGTGTGTGTGTGTGTGTGTGTGTGTGTGTGTGTGTGTGTGTGTGTGTGTGTGTGTGTGTGTGTGTGTGTGTGTGTGTGTGTGTGTGTGTGTGTGTGTGTGTGTGTGTGTGTGTGTGTGTGTGTGTGTGTGTGTGTGTGTGTGTGTGTGTGTGTGTGTGTGTGTGTGTGTGTGTGTGTGTGTGTGTGTGTGTGTGTGTGTGTGTGTGTGTGTGTGTGTGTGTGTGTGTGTGTGGGAACTCCCTCACAAGCTGTCACCCTGACTCCGCCTCCAAATATTTAAATCAGCCGCTCTCTTTTTGTAATGTTTTTTTGCCCCGGCCCTTCCCACTCTTTCCTGCCCAGCACAATGAGGCAGGATCCTCCTTGTTGCTATGACTTCACTCCAGAGTCTGTATGAAATGCAACCGCTGACTGTTTGGACATCAGGACAGAGACAGAGACACATCCCGGTTCAAAGAGAAGCTCGGCAGGACGCAGACCAGGACCCTGTCAGCTGGAACGCTTTGAAAACCGTATGAAGTTCAAAACAGTTATCTTCATCCTGGAATTCTAACCCAGCGTTTGTCACTCACGCTTTTGGGACTGTTTCTGCGACAAAGGTCCGGACGGCGTGGATGTGTGTGCTTTCTCACTGGATTTGGGGAGAGAGAGGAGGCTAGAAGTTGAGAGCGCAGCAGCTGGTTCCAGAATGGGTTGCGATCTATGAATCCAATTGAAGGATTAGGATGGTTTTTGTTACTTTTGACATGCCTCTGGCTTCAATGGTGAGCACTGTTAATGTGGTGGGAAACTATCCGTGTGTTAATTACAACTTCCTGGCCTTGTCTTTTGAGAATCTAGTGTCTCGATACTTGCTTTCTGTTTGCATACTTAATTATTTAATCTATGTTTGTCAGATTGTATTCGTGTTTTTAAATCTAAAGAGGTGAAAGCAGGCTCTTTCCTGAGAGCCGTCACGAAACTCAAACAAACCGGGTTTCAGTTTGTCCGTTGGTTCGCTGTCAAGAGTACAGGGTCCAGATTTGTTTCCACTGTTTGTCCATGGAGACTGAACACTTCCTGACACCTGTGTCCTTGCCCAGTTGGCCCAGAATCCCCCCCTAAAAAACTCCCTTAAATCACTTGTTTCCCTTTCGCTATACAACTACTTTAAAACGTTCCCCATTTCCCCTTCACCTTTTGTTTTAAAGCCAACATTTCTATTTGCAGTTAAGTCACTCTCCTCTTTGGACATCATCATTTAAAAAAAGATAAAAGGACTAAAAGCTGAAAACCTTTAAGACCCCCCACTCAGATTTATTATCTTGTTATGCAACTGAATGGCCCACTTGTATGCCTTTACTCTAGTTAAGTGGTTTAACAAAGGGCTCGACTTGCTCTTCCTAAAATGGAATTAATTGACTCGAGCTGTTCATAATATTTACATTTTTGTTTGTTGAATATACATGCCGCACATTTTAGACTTGGATAATTATTTATCTGAAGTGTAATGGAAGGTGTTTACTTTGAGTAACTGCGATGCTCAACCTCGGAAGGTGCAGTTTGTACCCATTTAGTCAAAGTTTGACAGTCAGCGTTCTTGTTTTTGTTAAAGTTACAGTGTTAGTTTGATGTTCCCTATAAACAGAGACTTTCCAACCACCAAAACTCAGATATTTTCAGTGGGAAAGTTGATACAAATGTGTCATAAAACCTGCACTCATTTTCATTACGTTTTACCAGCAGTAGCGAGTGATGGCGGACTTTATTTTGCCCCGGGTTTTACCTCCCAGGCTCTGTAGAGTCTACTGGGCTGCCCTCTGATTGGTGGAGATGGCACATGTAGACCGAGAGGTGCAGGGATGGAAAATGTTGTTTACCGTCAATATTCAGGCTCAAGGTTACAATAGCTGCTATTAGCATAACACCCCTGGATCTCAGATCAAACTTTCCGCAGTTGAGTTTTGTTGTAGGTAACGTAGGGCCGGGTTTTTCGCAAAGCAGTGAGTTGAGTAAAAACATAAGTCTGTGTAATTCAGCTTAATTGATTTCTTGATTAAAAAAGACTCGCCATCTTGAGCCCGACAATGTTATAGAAGTGCAACGCTTAATCAGGATTCTATGTGGTTAGACTTTTAATAATACATCATGTAGAAATCATTTCAAAATACTTTATTCAAAGTATTTTGAAAAGAAAGGCTCGACATATTCTGCCGTAAGCTGGAAACCCACCTATTGTAGTACTTTAAAATGTTTGGTTATTAATTAATTGAAGCTTATTAGTTTAACATGTGTGCTGTTCTGAATTGGTATGCTCATGGTTGATTGCATTTATTCTGCTGAGATAACAGTGTCAGCTGTAATGGAAAGCTAATAGTGTCATGTGTTTTTGCTGCATCTGCAGGAATGTCTTGTTTTGTTGGCGACATACCAACTTTGGACATAAGTGGTTTTCCTGCATTGTGTTTGTATGTGCGTTCGTCGAGGGGGGGATGATCAGTGAAAGAATTTAGTTTAGTGTCAGTGTCCTGGAATGTGAGTTCCTTGTCGCTGTTTGAAGGGGGGTCAGCGGCCGGACTCCCCACCAGCAGATTCCTCTCTAACGGCAAAAACAACTGCTTCCTCAGATACTGCGGTGGCCCCTGTTTGTTTGCTTTGCTGCAGCTCGTAAAGTGGACAGAGATTGTCCGAGCGAGGCAGGGCCCGCTGACAGGGTAACAATGGAGGGGGACAATGGCCAGACTCAGCGGTCTGTTCTTATGGAACAACCTCCTTGTGATGTAATGAGCGTTCACGGCGAGGAAGTGGCCGTCCTTCCCTCTCCTGTTTGTGTCGGATCATCAGGATAGCTCTAACGGTCCGCTGATGTCATCCCTGCACAGAATTCCCCTCTGATTTCCTGTTGATCCTGTCCTTGTGTATTTCTCTCTTTCCTTCATTGTCTCTTTCCCTCCGACTGACTGGAAACGTTCGTCCTTCCCCTTAACGTTGACAAGTTCCCTCGTGCCAAGTCTTTCATTTTCTGTTTGTTTTAAATGTCTCTCTGTCTGGGCTCTTGCAGGGTCAGGCTCGACGGAGAAAGAACATGACCGAGTTCCTGGGAGAAGCGAATATTCCCATCCCCGAGGCTCTGGGGGGGTTGGGCTCCCTGCCCGGCATCGGGGCCGGGCCTGACAGCTGGAAGAACCGAGCCGCCAGCCGCTTCAGTGGCTTCTTCAGCTCCAGCGCTGGGACGGGGGCCTTCGGAAAGGTAACGATCAGACAGAGAAGATGACACATCATATTGACCTTTCCTGAGTTCAGAGCACTTAATGCAAACTGATACTGATGCGGACACATTTTTTATTATGCATTCTTGGAACATGAACAAATTCGACAAATACTGCGAAAACGATGTTATTCTAACGGTCGAAATATAAATTGGTTTTAATGGCTGCTGTGGTTTATTTCTACATACATTTATTGTATACTAGCGTAGGATCACAGGGAAATATAGCATTCTCTTCTGCCTGTTGTAGAGTTGTATAAGTTGATATGAGGCTCGATTGCTTCCCAGACAAATCTCAGAATAAAATAAAAAAGCATTAAACGGTAGCGAGCTGCAGTGGGAGGGGGTCGGAGGCCGTTTCCCTTGAGGTCCTGATGATGAGGTAATTTCCCTTGGAGGTCTCGTGTTGTCGGCTCTCACACTTTCCTCTGGAAGTGAGGAGGAGGAGGAAAAGCCTCGCTCAATTCATCCATGGTTCAATTTTGAAAATACAATAGTTGGACGTTTTGGGAATACCTTTGCATGCTATGGTAGGAAGTTAGATGACCAGATACTTCTCTTCCAATGTTAGCTAGCTGAATTCGACTTAAAGACTGGATACTGGAGGAAACAGCAAGCCTGTCTCTATCCAGCATTTGTTTTAAATAGAACGTAGCTAACATGTTAAATATAGAAAAAAGCACACATAAGTAATAACACAATAAAAATAAGGACAAATAAGTCGTCGTCCATGTAGCAGCATTTAGATAGCTACGTGGAAATGTCAAACCTTTCCTTACATTTCTGTATCATATGTTTAAAACAATAATCATCACCTTCCTTCTGATAAAACACACACACACACACACACTCTCCGATTGTCTCCCGCCCTGAGGTCACATCCTGCACAGTAACAGATGTCAGGCAGAGACAGTATCTGTCACTCACCTGTCACTGCCTGCCTCATCTCTATTCACCCCGTCCCCCTTCACCCCTCCAGGACCAGAGACCCTTCCCCAGGACCTGGACCTCTCACTCCATCCATATTGTGGAGATGAACCACTGTCAGCACGGCCTTTCACTAAAAAACGTTGTAAAGAAGTGCTAATCGCTGATCACTGTTGTACAATTTCTCTCTATTAATAGTACTTCTTCCAAGGGGGTCATGACTTATAAACCTCTGCCCCCCCCCCCCCTCTCCATGCTGTAGCTTTTGCCCCCTCCCTTCAGTCTCCCATTGTGAAAGTGGTCTCAATGCACAGAGCTCATTTTCATAACTACGTAAAGCCTGCCAGGCTGAACAAAGGGCTGAATAGCAGCCACTGTTGGATTTAAGAATTAAGGCGCCAGTGAAGGACAGGATTTGAATGCTAATGCGGGGACTCATCTTTACTTACTGTTTGAGTGTAACAATAAATCGAGACACAAAGGACAGAAGTGGACAGTAATTCTCGCCGTCTCGCCGTTAACCTTGTTGAAATGTAATCAGGCTTGTTTTTCGTGTGTGGTTGCAGGAGGCGGACCGTCTGGAGCAGCTCCAGGGCAAACTGCACTCCTACATGACGTTCGGACTCCCCAAGGTGCCGCAGCAGCTCTCCTTCAACCAGGACTCCTGGGAGGAGGAGGACGAGGAGCAGGAGACCAACCTGGTGCTGGAGGACAGCTGGCAGATGCTGCTGGACGACTCCGAGGTGAAAACACACACAGGCTGGGGGGGTTTGTGTAAAGACACTGGAATATAATGTCAAATGAAAAAGGAATTGAGCTAGAAACCAAATTAGATAAAAAATGTTATGTTCTTTAATTCCATAAAACTTGAGAGGTTTTGTGCCTTTTTTCAATACATTAATTGTGAATTAGGACAAATAGCTTTTAGCTTAAAGTATGCTCCTGACTCTCACTTCCTCATCGTGTGTCTCACTCACACCTGATGCCTGTTTTCCCGGAATGATGCTCATAAAGCGATTTACGGTTTCACTGCGGTCAGTGAACCCTACATGCCAAAGTCAATGATATCATCGCACGCTGTCCACCTGTTAATGTTTGATCAGAAAGACGCTCAGCTGCTGCTCGCTCCCATAATGTACATTCACCCCAAAGTTACACAAGCCACGACACTGACAAGATAATGAGTTACTGGAAAACATCAGAACCAGTTTCTCTGGTGTCTGAGAGCGTGAAGAAAGGACTGAATCCTTTTATATATGTGACTAATCCTTCAGGGTATGGCTCAACAACAACAGGGTCGAACAGCACAATTCATTGACATCATACAAATTTGAAAAGCTTGCATACAAACAATGGAAATGAAATACATCGATACAAACACGATATATTCACACGAATGTATGACTCACTGTCAGTTTAAACATCGTCTTTTTGATCAGGCTTTTAGCTTTCTCATAGAGGTAGTAATACGTCAGCAAGCACAAAGATTAAAGGGGCCCTAATATGCTCCTTTTCAGGTTCATATGTGTATTTTGTGGCTCTACTGAGACGTATCTCCCTGCTTTAATGTTGATAAAGCTCTTTAATGTTCTACTTTCTACTTTGAACTTTGGGATTGTAGCCTTTGCAGACCATTGACATGCACAGAAACCTATATAATACACTACAAGAAAGAGAAAACCCCCAAAAAGCTTAATTAGGCCTCTCAAATCGAATCATATCTAATTTTAAAAAAATCATATTTGAATCATATTTTCAGCCAAAGTATATGTGTTAAACAGATTTTAACTAGGGCCGTGACTCGATTAAAAAAATTAATCTAATTAATTAGAGGCTTTGTAATTAATTAATCGAAATTAATCGCATTTTTAATCACATATAAATATTTGACCTGAGAACAGTGAGAAGCAATTTTTTTCACATGGATTTTAGTATACCATTAGGCGCATTCACACCGCAGTACTTTTCCCACAAAGGTTCATGAGAATTTAGTTCATGAGAACTCTTTGAACCTGGGGGAGGATTAGGCAAATGAAGCCGCTGACGTCACTTCTTCTTCTTCTGCATTGGGTTTACTGGCAGGCAGCAAACCACTTCACGGCGTATACTGCCGCCCAAAGTCCCCGGCCGGAAGTCCCCGGAGTTGGGGACTGGCTTCCGTAGAAGCTGCTGGGACTCCCAGCAGCTTCTACTGAAGCCTTCCGAGTAAATCGTCAGAACGCCGACACCTCCTCATCTCCACCGCTCCCATGTTTTATTTTGTGTTGCCATAAGTTAGTCTCTCTGCGTTTCTGCGCTGGGCTAATGCTAATGCTAATAATGCTAATGCGAGGATAATAAAATGGCGGCTTCACAAAACTTTTTGGGAGTTTTACGGGGCGTGGTTTGCAATCCGCCCAGCCAATCAGAAATATAGCTCTTTTCTCACAAGAGAGCCGTACGAAAGTCCCTGCTCTCTAGCAGCTCTCTGCTCTCTAGCAGGGACTTTCGTGGGGGTAAAAAGGTTCTCATGAACTAATTTTAGTACCGGCTCTTTTTGGTGTGAACGCGATAAAAGAGGCTAACGTCCACACTAGCTTCTATATGTTTTTGCATTGAGGTGATACTTGAGGCTTGATGTGCTGCGGTGATATGCGAATTCCTTTTTGCATAATTTGCACACAACCGTGCTCTTAACGACGCTTCCATCCGTCCGTTTTTTAAAACAACATTTCCCACTGTTGTTCACTGTGGTTTGTTGTTGTCTGAAGTCATGAACGTTAGTTGGTGCTCCAGTATAATCGGTACGCCTGAAACTCATCCAGTGAGAAACGTTCCGCGGTGCAAAAATAAGTGCGATTAAAATGCGTAAATTTTTTTAACGCGTTAATTTTTGTGTAATTAATTAATCTTAATTAACGCGTTAAAGTCCCGGCCCTAATTTTAACACATCATTATAGTAGTATCGTAGGTAAAGGGTAACAGGAACGGGGTTTGTTGTGTAATGGTTGCCTACTCAAACACAGAGTGATTAAGTAAATGTTACGAGGCGTTGTTCCACCGGGTGCCCTTTATAACATCCTGTATTTAAAAGGCAAACGAGACAAGTTGAAGAAGAATATGTTAATGTTTATTTTATTTATAACAATCTGATGCGTTTGTTTTTATAGACGTTGACCATCCTGTATTTTTAAAGCCTAGGCTCACGAGACATCACTAGTAATAACAATGTAATGCAATAAGATGAAGAATCTGTCAATGTTTCTGTTATATTTAATAAGATGTTTGTGCTTCCAGACGTTGACCCGGCGGCAGTTCCACCAGCAGGAGGCGATCTGGGAGCTGCTGCAGACCGAGGCGACCTACATAAAGAAACTCCGAGTCATCACTGATGTAAGGAACTACTGTACAGACCACTGATACTGTATGGATGTGTTGCAACGGGCTCCTGTACCCACAGAGATAACACACACAGTGATTCTCTTGTTAGGAACACGGCCCCTTATCACCACTCAGAAAGCCTTAGAAAAAGACCTTAATCCTGTGATGTGTTGAGTGATAACCTTCTGCTTTGAAGACTTTGTCGGCTTAACCTTTATGCTTAATGCTATAGTATAGGACACAAATGTCTGCTTTAAAAATGTTTTTTATGATGATATTATTCGGCACTTTCATCAGTCACATTTTTAATCAACTTCAGTCCCGGACAAAATCCCAAATGGAAAGAATATGTGCCATCTGGTGAAAAGTTATAAAAAATACAAATTGAAATCCTCTAGAACAGGGGTGTCAAACTCAAATACACAGTGGGCCAAAATACAAAAATCGGTACTAGTCTAGGGCCGGACTTATTGAAATGAACTTATTGCACATATTAAACCTGGAACTAACGAAGCTTAAATTATTGCCTATAAAAACAATATTAACCATTAAATAATCAGAGGGAAATGTTTTGCGTTGCAGCAACATAGAGAAATTAAGATACTAGAAATAAACAGTCCAAAATATTTCTGAAATACAAATAAAATAGCATTAAAAAGTTAAAAAAAATAGACAGTACTATAGAAGCTGAGGTTGAAATTCCAAGATTCAAACATAATTTACAAAAATACTTTAAAGAAAAAATGAAAAGCCAATAAACATTATTTTAAAACTCAATCTTCTGTGTGCCCTCCCCAGCTGTTCCTGTGTGGGCTGCTGAACCTGCAGGACAGCGGGCTGCTGACGGAGGTGGAGCCCACCAAGCTGTTCAGCAACATCCAGGAGCTCGTGGTTTTGCACACCGCCCTGTGGAACTCCGTCATGCTGCCCGTCCTGCAGAAAGCCCGGCAGAACCGCGCGCTGCTGGACCCCTCAGACCTGCACCAGGGCTTCCAGACGGTCAGTACACACCACACTGTGATATTATACTTACTTATCATACTTATACTGTCTGTTATGTGGGATTGCACCATCAGGAATGCTTGGAATTTCGCGGTACTCTGTGTAGTGACGATAAAAGGAATCTTAATCTTTACATAGTAACAATATATTCCAATATCTACTTAAACAAAGGGTTATCAGGACACCGTGAACCTGTGGACTTTACCACACAGCACTGATTAGTTCAGGTTAATGGGCCATTTAACAAGCCGATTCATTTCTGTTCTAATGGACCCAGGAACCTCGATCAAATCTACAGAATGTTTTGAGTTTGGTTTATTATCTGTGTCTTGGATATTATGGATACAACTCTCAATAACTTAAAACCAATAAAAGGCAACAAATAAGTCATATTTTTGACTTGTCAGATAACCTAATTCATCAATAAAATGTGCTATTGAAACCTAATAGTTTCCATATACCTTCAATCATTTTGGTACGAAACAGGTCAGTTGATAAATTGAATTGTAGTGATTTTTTATCAATCTCTTAGTAGCTAATTTAGATTTGCATCTATTCTTTTAGACCTTTTACTGAACGAATATCTGGACTGTATATTATCCATGACATTGTGTTCTTTTTGATGTGAAAGTAAATAGTTATTTCTCGGGAAAAGTTAAGTGTTTGCTCTATCAGCTGGTTCAAGTCCGAGGAAATCCCCCCTTTCTTAATCGACTGATTGAAGGTTATGGGAAAAGTACTTTACTTTACATTTTGCTTATTCAAGCTGATGTTTATCACACTTTTTATTGCAGCCATTTTTTTTACTTGCGTAAATGAGATATGAAGAAGGAAGTACTTTAATATGCCAGCACCTCCAATACCCATTATATTCGAACACTAAAGATCATTTCTGGATTGTTTTATAAACGTTTTACTTAGAAATATAATGCAATGTTGACGTTAGACTGATGCATAAGTGAATATGTTTCCCTCAGGAGGATGTGAGTAATATTTCTCATGCATGTTTTTGTTTGTTTGTTTCAGTTTGGCTCCAGGTTCCAGCCGTACATCCGGTACTGCATGGAGGAGGAGGGCATCATGGAGAACATGCGCACGCTGCTGCGGGACAACGATCTGTTCAGGACCTACGTCACGGTCAGTCCTCCACTTTTCTACATAAACATGTGTCCCCGGTGCGTCAGGGAACTCACGCAGTGTCAGTAAATAAAACCCTCTCTCTTTTCCTCCGAACCCAAATCTCTAAAAACGGGGGTACAACGGAGCTGATCCAGATTTGCGTCCGATATGACGTAATATCGGAAATGCGGACCCACGGCCCTATCAGAAAGTTGCTATCAGAAACAATGCCCGACTGTTTTGGACGTAATATGGTCTTTGTTTACATTAGCATTGCTAACACTCAGTGTAAGAGAATATTTTAATCTGATCTGTTTATAGAGTTTCCTATAGTTTCTTAGATTCTGTGATACTGCAAACATGTGTTTGACTTATCAGTCAAAGACTCCTCTGTAAGTTGAGGTCACAGGTCAAACGCTTCTCCTATATCCGTGGGGGAGGGTTGAGGCTTGTCTGCATCTCTTTGAGACAAGTAGATTATTGTCGCCGATCTGCTATTGATTAGGTAAACGCGGGCTTCTGTTAGCCCGCCTCTCCTCATGTTGATGCGTGTTGGGTCTATTCTGGGGCAGAGATCATGATGGTGGAGCACAGGACAGTGTGAAACTAAGTGATCTCCCCGGCCGTATTAATGTACTGTGTTCAATAAAACTCTCAGTGCTTTGGCTAAACGACGTTCCAGACTCCTTCATTCTACCTCAACATTGCAACAACAGAAGTTTATCTTCACACTCAGAGCTAACCTGTACTGGAGAGAGTTTGTGTAAATAAGCTGGATATAAAAAAAGGAACTCACCTTGTGGTAAACCTGAGAGAGAAAAAGTATTTGAGCTCCATACTGTTTCAGAAATAATCCTTAATGTGGTTTGGAGCATTTAATCACGGGAGAATTTATATATCTGAGAGCCATAGAATAGGCCTAAAAATAGCATAATAGGAGACCTTTAAGATAATCCCAGATACTCACGGTGTGTTGTTTACATATGTATGCCTCATTAAATGTCTGATTCCCTGTCTTTGTTGTCTCTTCAGTGGGCAGAGACTCATAAGCAGTGCAACCGCCTGAAGCTGATCGACATGTTGGCCAAGCCTCACCAGAGACTGACCAAATACCCGCTCCTGTTGACGAGGGTCCTGAAGAAGACGGACGACCAGTCGACACGGGACAAAGTCAACAGCATGGTAAGAACATTATTAATATGTAACAAACAGGGTTCCTAACGGTCATTAAAAACCTGGAAAAGTCATGGAAATTCAAAATGCAAATTCCAGGCCCTGGAAAAGTTCTGGAAAACAATATTTGTTCCCAAAGTTTTGGAAAAGTCATGGAAATGTAACCAAAGTTGCATCAAATATAATTTATATTTTATCTAATCGCCGAAACAGTAATACTATAACGATAATAAATACTGTGTCGTAGTAATGAAATGAAAAATGGCATTTAACTGTCGAGGTGTTTTGCTGGTGAGAGAGTTTTACAATCACACCCTCTAGTCTACAGTGCTTTAGTCTGTTGGAGCTAGTAAGCCTACTCTTTGATTTGTTTTAGATTCACAACATGTTTCATATGCAGACCTTATTTTCCTGTTCCATGTTAAAATAAAAATGTTTCAGTGGTACCGCTGAGAAAGAGTAATTTTTGTGGTCATGGAAAATGAGGTAAAGTCAAGGAGAAGTCATTGAAAATCATTGGTGAAAAAGTGTATGAACCCTGAACTAAGTTTACTTAAATAACCCATTGGCATCAAGTACTTTTACATTTAAATACTTGATACATCCTCCTAATTACACTTACATACTTTTAGCTGAATACACTTTTCGATACAGGATTGGTCACTTGTTGGTATTAAGTATTTGTACAGTATTATATGATGCTTTTACTAAAGTATAGGATTTGAATACTTCCATTATTTCTATGTTATGTCACTTTATAATTCTACTCCACTGCATTTGCCAGACAGTTTTAGTTACTAAACTGATTTTTGTTCATATAGCCTTTCTATCTAGGGTCAATCATGCACCTTCAAATGTGTTGATTCAGAGTTTAAATGTTTGTAATAAACTGCAAGGATGAAGTGTGGGTTGAAGAAATTGTCCTACTTCTTAAGCTAAATAAACGATTTAAAAACCCTCTGGGACCGGCTGAAAATGCAGCACCACAACATCTAAAAACAGATCAGAGAAATGTTGTTCTCTCAGGACAAGGACACTACAAACATGGTTATGTTGATGCATCGCTGCAGATTAAACTACCCAACAATATTTAAGAGTTACAATTTTCCCAAACCCAAAACATCCACATGACAGAATGTGAACTACGGAAAAACATCTAAACGTGTATTTGTGATTTCCCCTCCTCTAGGTGGCGGCGGTGGAAGGCTTCATCAACAGCGTGGAGTCGAAGATGAGACAGCGCCAGGAACAACAGAATCTGGCCACCATTTCTGCCAGAATAGACTCCTACGAGGCTGTGGAGGGCAGCAGTGAGGAGGTGGAGAAGGTAGGAAACTATTTACAGTTCCTCCTGGCTTTCTCACGTTTCCTTCTTCAGGAAAGCTCAGTCCGATACGAGACGTTCTGTAAGAATTGACCTCATGCTTTTTGTCTTTTTCCTCCCGTCAGATCCTCAAGGAGTTCAACCGCTTCGACCTCATGGCTCCCATGAGAGGAGTTTCCCCGGAGGAGACCCGACAGCTGCATCTGGAGGGGACGCTGAAGATGAAAGAGGGCAAGGACAGCCGAGTAAGTCTGACTCTCAGCTTGTAAACACACCACGAGCTCCTCTTATCCTTCATTCTCAACATCTGGCTTCTCGCCTCACATTTCACATTAAAAGGATGACCTTTCTGTCCGACCTGACGTGAGTGTATCTCCCTGCAGATGGACGTCCACTGTGTCCTGTTCACTGACCTGCTGCTGATCACCAAGTCGGTGAAAAGAGTGGAGAAAGTGAAGATCATCCGTCAGCCTCTGCTCATTCAAAACGTCGTCTGTAAGGAGCTCAAAGACCCTGGTGAGTGCTCAGACAGACAGATGATCATCTTCCTAATTCAGACACTTTTGACATATATAAGAATCTTCAAATGACTTTAGTTGAATTTTTTGAATATTTATTTTTCTTTGTCGTTGTTTTTACTATTATATGTGATGTTTTGGGATAAATATCACTGCATTCTAGGGCTGTACCTGAATATCCGAATATTCGTTCGTTGGAGTACTATTCAGGTTTCAATTCCGTTATCCGGATATTCGTTTTGTTTGTTTTTACCCCGTTTTTTTCCCAAATTGAATTGATTGAAATCTCCAATATCAACGTAAGAGCTTGTGCCTCTTCAGGGGGGGCGGGGGCTAACACTTAACCATAAACGTTATCGTTTACTTTCTCCGTCTTTATATGTAGATATTACTTTTCTCCGTTAATCTCCGTCATGTTGTTTCCAAAGCAACAACAACTTCCTGTCAACAGCGCTACCTCTCCTTCAAAATAAAAGCATGTCCATAAACAGGAAGCCAAGCCAAATTACACTTAAGACCATAGCGTAAGACATATACAACTGCAACGAAAGAAACACACACAATGCGATATCCTTTTCAATTTCAAAGAACACAAATTGGGTTACATTAACAAATAACTATAAAACAACAATACTGTAGAATAACAAAATGAATGTCGTGAATACACCAAAATACACGTGTTGAAGCGTCAACCACCCCCCCGAATATTCGCTGCTGATTACTACCGAATATCCGGAGCCCTACTGCATTTATGTGCATGTTGAGTTTTACTGCTGTAGATGTGAAGGGTTTTGCTAGTTCTAACTGTTTTAAATATTGTTGGTTTTGGTCATAGTATAGTTTATGATGTATGTGAGAAATTCAGTTAGGAATCAAAAACTGTCAGGCAAATGTAATGGATTACAAGTATACGTGACATATAGTCGAAATGAGTTACATTTCCATCTCTGGAGATCACTGACTGACTTTTTACTTCAAGTGTGTACCTTTTTGTCTCAATGTACACCCTTGGAGATCTAATCCTGTTTTGTTGTGCTTTTGCCCCTGCAGGCTCATTCATCCTCATCTACCTCAATGAGTTTAAGAGTGCAGTGGCAGCTTACACTTTACAAGCCAACAGCGCCACCCAGGGGCGAAGCTGGATCGATGCAATCTGCAACGTCCAGGTGAGAGAGACACCTCATATCGTATTAAATGTTGCAGACACAGAGCTTGCAAATCAGATTCAGAGACATTGTGATGTTGTTTCCAAACTCAATGTGGTTTTATTCCCCCCCGCAGAACCAGCTCCAGAGGCTGCGCACGGAGGAGGTTCTCCGGCAGCAGAGCAGCAAGAAGAGGTGTACGGGTGAGGAAGAGGAGGAGGAAGATGAGAGCAGCAACTCAAGCTCCCCCTGCCTGAGGCACAAAAACCAGCAGAGCTCGAGGTACTGCATATTACTAATCAACTGTATTAAATAATGGATGGATGTTAATGTGAATGTGATTGCATCATTTGAAATAAATTACACCCATTTCATAACTACAGTCTTCCAAAAATATTATAATTTTTTTAAATGAAAACAAAACTTTATACATATAACTTGATGTATTCACAAAACTATACTACTCACTTCAAACTTTTTTTTTCTACTGGCCTAAATATTATTCTAAAGGATCAAGTCAATGAACAAATCAACCCCCATTAAAACTCACTAATAGGCATAAATCAAAGTAATCAAAGATCACATAAAATTGTGTGATTGTTGAATTTGTTTGTGTGTATATATATTTATTATCCGTGAATACTGACCCCCGATGTGTCTCTTTTTACCTTTTAGTTTTAGAGACTTCTTTTAATGGTGTATTGTTTATAGTGTGTTGGATGGAGAACGACTTGTTGAGCGTGTGTGTGTAGTGACATTAAACATTTGAGTTTCATGAGTAGCGATCCAGTTAACTAACCAAGTCTCTCCTCTCAGCCAATCAGATGGCTCCACTGAGACCCTGTCAGTGATGGACATCGATGAACCGAGCGAACAGCCCCCAGCCCCCAACATGAACCTGGAGGGGTCCGGTGAGAAAGACTCGGACGTGGATCCCCTCTCTGAAAGGTCGGAGGTCGAGCAGTCCACTCTCAGAGTTCACTCCAGTGTTTACTGTGATGAGGAGACGGACCCCCAGAGCCGCTCCCTCTCCATGGACAGCGCCTACGGTACCCTCTCCCCCGAATCCCTCTCCCCCGAATCCCTCCTGGGAGAGCCTCAGCCCGGCCAGACTGAAGGAGAGGAGGAGGTGGAGGAGGCAGAGATAGATGAGATGGAAGAGGAGGATGAGGAAGAGGAGGATGCGGCCTCTTTAGGGTCTCAGATTTCAGTGATCCAGTCCTCCAGACCCCGCCGGCGGCCTCACGTTCAGCCCCGACTCCACTGCCTCCAGAGGCTCTCCACCCTGACTCTCTCCCGCTCCGAGGACAATCTGCTGCAGCGCCTCTACGGTAAAACACAAACAACGGACACACCCAGCTCTCAGGGGCCGGACCAATCAGAACGCAGGGTCGCATCGCCGCTGGCTCACAGCAGAAGTCTGACGGAGCTCGGACAAAACTGCCTGGAGATGTTTTCCAGCGACATCGACCGGTCTGAAGACTGCTTGAGCGCCACCTCAAATAAACTCTCTGCCACCCTGAGGAGAGCGGAGGCGAAGCAGGCCCCCCCCACGCCCCCCGGTGAGTGTGAGGAGCCCCAGAACAACAGCTCAGATGGGGAAACGGCGCCACCTGCCTGCGTAGAAAGGATAAACGACACAACAGCCCCCAGTGATTCGGGGGAGATGTCGCCTAAAAAGAGGAAATCTCCGGTCCAGCAGCACAAGAAGCTGACGCTCGCTCAGCTGTATAGGATACGCACCACTCTGGTCCTCAACTCCACTCTCACTGCATCGTAAGTCATTACCTCTGCAATATCAATGTACAGATTTACCACATTAAAAGGAATGGTTCAATATAAGATCAATGTCGTTTTGATGAGTTGCTTGGCCTCCGATGGTTTGGATGATATTATGCGATGGGTTTGCTCAAAATAAAATACCAAACTTGTACACAAGCAACAAAGAAAAGAGGCCTTTGCAATAGTCAAAACAAGTAGGCAAAACTCAAATAAAATAACAAACAACTTAGGTGTTCTTTCTTGCTTTCTTTCTTGTTAAGGCTTATATAACTTGATAACTTAAAGGGTAATTGAGCGGTTAAAAACTGTTCCTCGACGGCATCTGTCTAGCAGGTTGCCCATCACTGTCACTTTAGAGGAGGCGCCGTGGGAATTGTAGTCTTTTATACTTTGGTGGTACTTTGACTACAGATTAGGTGGCCTTTCTCATAAAAACAAAATACTGGCTCTAACAATCAATATCCTCTTTTTTTAACATCTCTCGTTTGAAAGAAAGTGAATTTTATTCCCGTTAGTGGATATGTGTATTAATGTTGTTTTCTTTTCTTTCTAGGGAGGTATAACCACTCTTCCAATCAGCTGATCAGTGGCACGTGGACGTGATAAGGAACACTTTTTCTTGCTTCGATGGACTGAATTTCTTGAGACACAAATGCACTCTCTCTTGCTGCCCTCTCCCTTCTGGTTGCTTTCTTTTGGACACTGACCGTACCATTGTTGCATTTGAACATTTTCCTTTCTTTGCTGTTGCATTGGTTCCCGAGTGGAAGGGAGAGGCGGAGAGACATTAACTGCTTGCACTTTGCAACGGAAGTAGCATTATAGGGGCTGGGACCTTAAGGCTGACTGTGTGGGTGGGGGGGGGGGCATCTTCTCCGTCACCAGAGTCAAAGAGAGGAACAATACGTCTTGAAAATGCTCTCTACACGTGGCTAAATTAAATAAAAAACAGCACCTAGGACGTCCTCCTGATATTTATACTACTCCTGGTTTGCTTTAAAAAAAAAAAAAAAAGAAAGAAATTGCACAGTTATCTATGTTAAGTAGAAGAATCACTAAGGAGTGAATTTACAGTCACACAATGGATTAGAATGTATTGTTAGCTGTTTGTGTCTGATTGTGTGTGAGTGTGTGTGTGTGTTTGAATGATTACATGGTCCTTGATTCCTGACTGAAAGAAAACTGATTCCCATCTCCTGTGATTACGCTAACACACCCCCCAAAAAATGAATGAAAAGTGTACCCAAAAGGTACAAAGCATTATGTTTCAACACGCAGGCGGGCTTCCTTCTTTATTGTTAATTTTGGTTTGTTGAACTAATGAGTTGATTTCCCTAAAAACAATATTCAGTATATGAGATGACTAAAACTGTTTTGAGGAATGTCCTGCACTAAATACATCAGATTGAGTGTTCATTAAACTCTTGAGGTATTAAAACCACACACACAAGAAACAACGTGGTCATAGGAAAAACTAAAACTTTACCTGTGTATGTTATTAGAGAGATTGAACAAAAACAGTTTGGGTTGGATATTCTGCAATGAGTGATCAGTTGAACTTTTCCCAGGAGATTTACTTAACTGACGTTCAGCTTTTCAGTTCAGTGATTTAATTATTCCAAACATGGCCCAAACCAAATAGGTTAACTGTTTACTTTTAGTTTTTTTTGTTTATGTGTAATATTTATTATGCCTGCTATGTTTTATATATAAGATATTGTTTATATTGTTTTGCTTCCATGATTTGTAAAAAAAGAAATGTGTTGATGTAGTCTTAATATTTTTTTTCTTGCCAGGCATGAATGTGCTATGAACCAAAACCATGCGTTTCCTCTTTCAGGAATGACGTGTTTAAGTGTCTTACAGAATACAAATGCTAAAATACTTGATCCCTCTTTGTTTAATCCATTGTAATGGAGTGACTTTAGGGGAATAATTGCATACTGAATTGTATTAAGCATTAAAAAAAAACATGAACTGGTCCTACTGCTCTTGTCTGTCATGTTTTAAAAGCAGTTTGCAAACAAATGTGTTCAGGGAAAGGAAGTGGATTTACATGTTGACAGGTCTTGTCATTTAAAATATGTCAAATGTAAAAAAAGTGGAAACAATTCATAGTATGGTGTGTCGAAAAAGGTCATAAATATGTAGAATGAAGTGAGAATAAAAGTCATGTAAAACAAGGTAATAAAATAGTATATTATGTTCAAGTCATAGTATCGAATGTCAAAGAAAAAATGAACTAGTAATGTACAGTATGTCTCAAAGGATAATGGTATAATATTTCAAAAAAAGAGTCATGAAATACTATGTCCAAAAAAGTCAATGTTTCAATGTATGGTATGTCTAAAAGAAAGTGACACTATGTAAGTTGAAAAAAGTCATATTAATGTATGTCGAGAAAAGCAGAATGGCCCATTTCACATTAAGGTTCAGGCTACTGCTGAAATATAATAATTGTCTCTTGCAGCTGGTAGGAGTTAACATTGAACATTAATCATCTGTACAGTTTAGATTCTGGAAACTCATTCAGATCACATTTCTCCCCCAGCTGTCTGTCTGGACCGAGCGTCTGCCTCTGCTTCCCAGAAAGTTAAAAACTGACCCGTCTCCAAAACAAAGTGTCCAACACACATGAGGGACGTAATGCAGGGCTGATGGCACGCAGCAACATCATGGCCAAGGTGTATTTACAGGTGATTATATCAGCTAATCGGTGGATTACAGCATGTTGAGTCCACACAAGCCTCTAAGCAGCGGAGAAAAGGCAGCGCGGTCCTGTGGGATTTTCAGTTTAATCTGGTCCCAGAATGCAACAGCCCCTCCCACCCTCACATCTGGCCCACAGGATTTACTGTTGTAATCCTCGATTTTAAAACAATTTTATTATGCTTTATCGCTGATACGCTGGACTTTAATTATAAAAATGCAGCTTTCTGTTTTAGCTTTGAAGTAATTCCACATCTGTGCTCTATTAGCCTTTTAGTAAGTAAGTCATAGGGTTGTGCCAAAGTCAGCTGTGGCCGCATTATGGCTGCATCCCATATATTACTTTCAGGGGTTTAATGCTATCTATGTTGTGAATTTAAAGTTGTTTTTTTAAGTTGGCAATTCTGGATTTTAAAACTTCTTTTGGCTTTACATTGGAGAAACTTAGGCTTGTCTGCATCCTCTAAAAAAAATGGTAAATATTTAGACGTTGCATACCCTCCCTGTTTGTTTGTGTTGTGTGCACTTCTCTGCATGTCTGGTGTAAATGTACACTGCATACAGATGGGGCAGAGATGAGGTTAACACCACCTGCTGTGGCAGATGTCAAAAACCATGCTGTAAAAAATGTCCGATTAACACAAAGGGGCACTTTGACAAATCCTGATTATACGAGCACTTTCATTTATTAAACTCTGACAATCCCCTGTACTCTTTTTGAGCGGGGATTAAAACCAGGTAGACACCATTGTCTATCTAAACAATCCCTCTCTAAGCTCTGGCTGTTTCCTGGAGCCCCGGCCTGGCTGCCTGTAATCTCAGCAGGGCTTATAGGTCACTACAACCACTACACATTCCCATTCATCAACATCATCCCCTTTAGAGGGACTAGGTGATTGGATTTAGGACATGTTTTACAGGGGCAGAAAAAAGAGAACAGCGAACTAAAGCGTGTTTACAAGAGCTGTGCTGTGAAAAGGCCCGTGGACGAGTGGCGGCCATATGGAGTGGATAACCCCGCAAACATCTGCCCTCCATCAGAGCCGTGTACCGCCATTAGACCGGAGGCTTTGACCTTCACAAGAACATCTGGTCCCTCTTTCTGTTCCATGGAACCCTGGAAATAGTATTAGACACACAGAGAGAAACCCATATGGGATGTTTAGACCTCGCTTTGCAACACAGGGATGGTGGACAGTTCAGTTTGATCACCAGATCAAAAACATTGAGTTAATGGTCAACTCCAGGTTCCTGAATAGTAACTTTTTTTTCACTTAAACTTAAACTAAACACCATTCTCCTGATGTTATCACATTCTTATTTTAAATCTTATAACTCACTTTTATATGGCCTTTTTTGTTTGTATCTCTTGTAGTTGGTAATTAATGTTTTAGGATTTTATGTACTTTCATCATTTGTTTTTGCACTTAGAAGTAATTTTGGAAAGGTTCTTTAAAAATAAAGCTATTCTAACGATTATTATAAGATGATGGTGGGTTAACAGGCCGGATGTTTGGTCCATTTTGACTTTATATGTCTAAATAATCTCATGAGGAATGGGTCATATAAATGGCCCAATACGAAAACACTATGTATTCATTCACTCAATTATTCTAGAAAGAAAAAAAAATCAACATGAAATGACCCAAATAAGGTAAAAATGAAGTGTAATGGTATCTTACCCTTGATAGTCATTTTAATTTTTTGAATAAACACATTAAAATTACATTACCACAATCTTGATATGGATTCATTATATGAACTTTTTCTTCTTCTTTCCTGCCATCTTGATCATATTACAACCCACATATTTATCTTGTGACCCTTTGAATGTTGCCGATTTCCTAGGTTAAGAAACAATGACTAGCTCTACTTTAATCAGCAATGGTCCAATTGTATATGCATTAGTATTTACAATCTAATATATCGGTCACAATCAACAATGTGCTGCAGAATGACTATGTTCCCTTTAAATACTAAAATGTAGCTACAAAAAGTAGTTGTACAGAAAGGAAAGGATTTTCTAAATAACAGAGCGTTTTCGTGAAATATAGATTTGAAAAAAGAAAATATAAGTAATATTTCAAATATCCGAGTTCTCCTCTCCCACCACAGGTCTGTTTGGGCGCCCTGACAGATTAATGCCTCCTCTGTTTGGTTTGTTTTCCCTGACAGTAATATCAAGGTGATAATGTATTGCCAGCTGCTCTCTGGCATGAATTCATTCCACAAAGACCTGGCATATGCTCCGGGATCAAATGTCTTGATCCTGGTAAAAGTTGTGTTGTTTTCTAAATTGAAAGAGCATAAGGTCCCACTTTCAATGGACAATGTAAAGTCCTCACCTCAATAATTGTATCAGCTTATAAGAAGCTTACTGTAATTACAATATTGTCGTCTTAGAGCAGCAACCTAAAACATGAAATACAAATCGCCCATTTCTAAATTAAATGAAAACTCGTTCAAAGAGGCGCTAGAGGAGGACAGAGGGATTAACGTGTAAGTCTGGCACATTTAATATTTACAGCACAAACACAATTAATGGGGAGGGGTGGCGGGTTGCGATCTTCAATGATTTTTGATGCTAAAATGTAAAATTCAGATTCAAATTTGAGGGCTTTATTTCCATATTTACAGTATATAAGGCAAAGAAAATCTTCAGTCCCAGGCTCCTCCAACAATGCAACATAAGATATAAAACTAATTTAAAAACTAAAATAGTACAAGAAGAAACAGTAGAATACAACAGTGCAGATTATGTTGCAGACCAATGTGCAAATAATGCAGATTAAGTCAACTATATACATGTCAGAAAAGATACAATAAGATAAATGGTGCAGATAATGTTGTAAGTGACCAAGTCATGCATGAGTTTATATACATATAAATTGAATGAGATAGACAAGAACAGAATGTACAATTAAATATTGTACAGTGGAATACAAATACATTGTGAGTAATACATAATTAAATAAATATGATGGGCATGTTTCCCTGTTGTCAAATGTGTTTAACTTTATTATTACATAATGTTACATATGTCATATTACATCATTGTTTTGGTTTGTTTCCATTTCTGTTGTCGCAAATTTAAAACGTTACTTCAGTTATTCATTACAAATATTTGTTTTCTGTTTTGTCAATGTTTTTGTGTGTAGCTAAAGGACTGAGCCACAAATGCATTTCATTGTGCAACCCTTTCTTGCACAATGACAATAAATGATCTTTAAATCCATAATCTGACAATATGTTTTGTGTTTAATACCTGATATGACTGGCCTTCAAACCCCCTGGTGTGCACAGAGGGGGGGAGAAACAAGAATTGGGGCTCTGTGGGGGGGCTGTGTTTACAACTTGTGATCTAAATGTACGACGGCCCTGAGTACGACAAACTACAAATGAGGAAAACGCATGCAAAAAAGACACAATACAAGGAAAATAAGAAACAACACCATTTTTTTTACATACACAAAAGCATCATCTTGAAGATAAATGCACAGCTATTAGAAAAGAGATGCCTGAAGCTCACAACACAACGGAAACTGTTTTCAGGAGGAAATCATAGGGAAGCACAGGGCTGGGACAATTATGCTTTTTGTTGGCGTTTACAGAAAGCTATTGAAGTCGGTTATCTGTCAGTGGCATTTGAAAATGAAGTTTTTTTGCCTTTTTTAAATTAAATTGTGATGGAAAAATAGATATTATTGTAGATGCATTTCACCTATAGTGTTGCCCTTCTGTAAAGCCATGTTAACATTTTCGAGGAGTCCCACTGCTCTGTCAGGTCAAATGTTCTCACACAGTGGACAATATTTTTCAGAGCACACCTGACAAATTATAAACAGGTTTCCCCCAAATACCTGACCTGAAGACCTCAACATCTTAACAATTACTTCCATCATATGTGACATCCACAACATATCAGCATTGAAGGGAAAAATAAACACACAAACAAATAAGTAGAAGAGTTACAATTAGCTAAAGCCTTGTATTTACGTTTAATAAATAGTAAAAATGTGTTCTTTTCCGTAGGCCTACTAACTACAATTTTGAGGCAGAGATTGTACATTTGACTGTATTTGACAGTTTTAAGTAGGTAGTGACTATTAGACATTCATGTTCATGAACTGTAGGCTATAGTTAATAAAAACCCATCAATGGTACTTTAAATAGCAAATACTTTTATATATTTTTTGAATGCAGCTGTCCTTTTACTTGTAGCAGACCATGTCTATACTGTAGTTAGTTTTTCTTAATACAAAAATGTGAGTAGTCCTTAATTGTTTAACCATTGCATAGCCTACATTTTTGAGAAGATAACTGTAGCCTATGCTAACTAGCCTACCACAAAATAGCTATTTTTGAATGGTGTATCATTATGAGACGTTCACTATCACCTGTATCACCAATAAACTGTATATTTAATAAAAACCCATCATTGATGCTTTAAATAATACTAAATACTTGTATATGTATGTGTATGCAGCTGTCCTTTCACTTGTATCAGACCATTTCTATACGTCTAGTGTTACATTTACATTTTGAGAAGTTAACTGTATAAATACGTGTAGCTAACTAGCCTACCACAAAATAATGTTTTTTTTAATAGTGTATAATAATTATGAGACTTTCACGATCACCTACAAAAAGCCAAAGGAGTACGCATATAACGTGCACAGTTTAATGCTTAAGTGTTGTTAACCGAGAGCGGGAAACAAACAAAGACTTAACCAACGCTGAGGGTGAAGTGTGAGAATAAAGTGGAGTCTTTAAAGGGTTAACAGGAGGAGGCGAGGCAACGGTCAGCTCGTTTGGGTGGAGTGAACTTTAGATATGTACTACAACAAATTAGCCAACAGGACTCATCATTATGGAGTGAAAAAAACCCAAGTCTAAAGAGAAAGCACTCAATTTAAAACAGAAACTCATCCGCTACAGAGATAAGTAAAGATGAGTGGAGTGAGTGAAGAGTCGCTGCTGGATTATTTCTACTCCACCGGAGGCATCTCAAGCAGGGTGAAAAATGCAGATATTCTGAAGACATTTAAGCCCTTTATTGGCCACAGTGACGTGCAGCTGCGTGGTAAGTAGCGAGTTATTGTCTCATGGATTCAGAAAGATTAAATAATAACCGTAAAAAGAGGGAAACGTGGTGCTGCAGCGCGGTGTCAGTGTTATCGGTACTGTGAGATGACACACACCTCTTTAATTCATTGATGAGCGATTTATTTAAACGCAGCCTCCATTAGTCTGCTTACACGTGTTGGTTTTATGTCTTTTCATTGTTCCTCTGTTGTAAAGCACACATCTGGTTTGCATTAAAAGCCCCTCTAACAGCTTCAGCAGGATTGTGTCATTTCCTCCCTCGGGCTGAGCTGCCTGAACACAAAACCATCCAGAGGAGGAAAGTAACTAGGTACATTTACTCAAGTACTGTTCAATACTGAGAGACTGGTACTTTACTTGAGTATTTCAATGTTTTGCCACTTTGTACTTCTCTCCCACTTCAATTCAGAGGTAAATACTTTTACTCCACTGATGTATTTAATACCTTTAGTTACTTTGCAGATTTTGATAAAGTATTTGAAATATAATCAAGTGTTAAATCAGACTTTAGTTCCACCTGGAGTAAATTCACAAGCTACCCTGCAGTATACAAAGCTATTAAAACTAGCTGCACCTTTACCAGCTTTGAGAACACTTTCATGATCATTATAAAACATATCATATATATTATTCTGAAATGGACCAATCTGCACCATGACTACTTTTACTTTTGGTACTTTGAGTATATTTTGACACTACTACTTTTTTACTTTTACTTGAGTAACATTTTGATTGCAGGACTTCTTGTAACAGAGTATTCCTTCACTCTGATACTTCTACTTTTACTTAAAGGGGACCTAACATGCAAAATGCACTTGTGTACGTCTTTTATACATGAATATGTGTCCCCGGTGTGTCAGGGAACTCACCAAGTGTCAGGAAACACAACCCTCTCTCTTTTCCTCCATACCCAAATCTCTCAAAACGGGGCTGCAACGGGCTGATTATTATTTGAATTTTTATGACGTCAGAAAAGGGGTGCTCCGCCTATATGGGCAACTCTCCACCTATCAGGGGAATGAGAGACCGCTCGAAAGCGCTGGAGACGCTGTAGTACATATGCCAGGCCTGTAAGTGGCGCTGTAGTCTGCCACACAAGCAGAATCAGCCCTTGCAAAAACAGGGCTGGAAAAGAGCAAATAGAGCGAAATGAGGCACGGCTAAAATGCATGATCTGTTTGGTATTTTGAGAAAAAGACTTTACAGACATGTTTTATATAGGTATGGCCCTACAATATATGTTTCAAATATAGCATGATAGGTCCACTTTAAGTACACGATCTGAGTACTTCTCCCACCTCTGTCTCCATCACATACACTGTATGACACCATGCAGTGTCATGTGAAGGCCCAGCTGTTGTCACTCAGCTAAATGATTAATAATGATAAATTCGCGTTTCTCCACAATTGTAGAGATGATCTCAGTTATATTTGCTGAGTGGCTCTCTGCTGCTCTCCACCACCACTTTGTGTGGGTCTACACATGCTTATGCAACTGTTATGAATCACTGCTTTGGCCTAAAGCAACATTTCCTTTTTTTTGGTTCCTTACAAAAAATGTTGTGTGTACACACAGCCAGCTAATGCAGTTTAATAGCCCTGAAGAACATCAGGTCCATCCCACCATCTATTAAAAGAAGAAATAACAGAATGTGCCTGGTACAAATGGAAAGTGGAATTAAAAAGCAATACAACGCAGTATTGCTCAGCTAATACACTAGAGAGAGTTTGTGTTACTGACTCACATAGTCTTTGTTGTCATTGTTTTTAGCTGTGTGTCTATGTGTAAGAGTGAACTTGTATCACTTGTGGTGGTAAGCAAAAGCCGCAAAGCCGTCAATTCATCAATTAATGGATGGACAGAAAATCAATTGGCAGCTATTGTGATAATTGATTCAATGATTCAGACATTTTTAAAGCAAGAAAGCTGTAACTTTGATGGATACATGTTCTCAAATGTGAGAATTTGATGATTTTCTTGTTATCACATTATAATACCGTTTTGGTTTTGGGTGAAAACAAAACCAGACTTTTTAAGTGGATGAACATTCTTTTACTGTTTTCTTATGTTGTATGCTGCACTGTACAATCTCAATAAATCAATTACTAGAACAACCATCAGATGAATCTATAATACAAGTAGCTGGCCAACTCACTCTATATTTAAACATGTCACAGATAACGATTTTATCACAAAAGTAAATCAAAACATAAACACACTGTAGTAGCTAACGTTTGCTAATGTTAGCTACCACAAGCTATTGGTGACACCAGACCAAGTAAGTAGGGCTGCTCGATCATGGCAAAAATCATAATCTCAATAATTGATATCACGATTATTAAAAATGATTATCCATTTACTTTGAAAACATCCATTTATTGAAAAAAAACGTTTGAACAGTATGTATTTAACAGTTGATTACCCTGAACTTTAAGTATAATTCAACTGAAAAAAAAAAAAAAAAAATAAACTTTTATTTCAATTATGTTGTTTTCATAATCGTTGCAAGCTAAAATCGTAATTGCGATTAAAATACGATTAATTAAGCAGCCCTACAAGTAAGGCCGCATGAGCAATATTGCTTTTTCACCGCTTATACATTTTGCATTTTGTTTGAGGTAGATCTTGTCAATTATTCCTTCAAATGTGACATAGTCCTGTGAGATGGACATGACTGATTGCAGTGCTGTTCTATCAGCTTGCATACGTTTTAGCTAGTGGTATGAACCCCTAAAAGAGAAAGCACACACAACCTATTAATGACTGCTGTTTAATGGCACAATATATTTAGCCAACAAGACAAATAACATCATGTACTGAATCATTATCCATTTAGCTGTACCTTTACCTTTGGCACATACAGACGGTTTTCCAACCTCCCTAAATGATTATCCAAAGTGACCTTGTGTTGCTGCAGCAGCATGTTCTGTCCAGATGCCATGTCAGCACTGCAGTTGTTGACAGAGGTTTAGAGAGCGGCCATCTGACGGCTCGGTCCAATTACAAAAGTGCTTCCCAGACATTTGAAGTCTGTCGTAGCATGTGGTTGCAGATTTACATGTGGTAATTGTGAGGATAGTGTTTTAATCATAATTAAGTCCACATGCATGGGTGGATGTAGAGCTCTAATGGGGTTGCTTTTTCATCAGATCGGAAAACTGGGGCAGTGTAGCTGCACAGGAGGGGGTGGAGGAGGGGGTAACTGTGCTTGTTTGTGGAGACCTTTGGCTAATAAATAACTAGCGTGTTTCTCACTTTGGTTAGCTAGGAATTCTGTTGTTGAGACAAATGTAAGTGGTCGCTTCCTTTGGATTTCCTGTTGTTGAGGCGAGTCAACTGTCTCACTACAAATGTTCTTTCCGTCCACATCAGGAAAAGGAAACACTTCAATTGTCCCCGAGCCGCATGCCCATGTTCACCTCTGCATGAATGGCATACCTTCGCCTGGAGACATTCCTTGTGTTGCCGACCTGGCTGCTTCACACACTGTGCACATATCTGTTCACTGCTGAAGACAAAGGGAGATAGCGTTATCTGTGGGGATCTGTCAGCTGTAGTTGGTTCCCACAGGAGAGACTCACTGTATGTTTAAGGGACTCAGGTTCTAGCCTTTAGGGATGCACTGGGATCTGTTTGGACCTCTGGGAGGGACATGTTTGTTCTCCTCGCAGTGCTCTAACTGCGGCAAACATCTCTCTGCAATGTGAGCTGCTTTTGGCTTGGTCAGCTGGATGTTTATTGACCTCCTTCCTCTCAGAAACACAACTCAGCAACTCCGGCAGACAGTAGCTCACAGATCGATCGTAAACAAACACCATTACAATCTAGCTGCATCTGGAAATACTCCGTGTGTAAATCAAACTTAATTCGAGCTCTTTTTATTGCAGTCTATTTCTGTTTCCCAAATAAAACAACAAGAGCTGAGTCTGTGCAATATTTCCCCCCTTATTTGACATTGTTTGTTGTGGGAAAGCTATATTTACAATGTAGTTTTAACCTCAGACATGTTTCCCTGCAGCTAAATACAGAGAGGAATTCAAGCTCATCATCGACCGAATCGCTGCGGTGAAGTCAGAGAATGTGAGTGAACTGTTTCAATACTATGAACTTTTGTGGAAAGAGCCCTGCTCCCGTGCATTCTGTGTTACTATGTCAACACCGTGGCATAAACATGTTTGCTGCTATTACGAGGTTCCTGTTAAACCATCATGACTTAACAAGGAGTTCTCCAATCTTTGTTTTTAAAAAGAAACTCTTTGTACCCACTGGTTTCCCCAGAGGAAGTGCAGCTGCAGTTTTCAGTTTCCTTGAAACTATTTTGCTGACGTATTAACCAAATCAATGAAACATTTATCCACAATTTACGTGCAGTTAAAATACCCTGACGTAGATGTGGTCCCTCAAGCTGTACAGATGTGAAGTACGGCAGTTTCTTTATGACGTTTTTCCTCCAAGAAAGTTCCATCACCTCCTTAGAAATTCTTTAAAATACATCTTATTCTTTCCTGTCATTGACGAATAAACATAATATATGCTTATGTGGATATTGTTCGATTACTGAAGTCATATAGTCAATAAGCCAGTTAAACCAACATTAATGTTTCTTCACTGTGAACTTTTAGTAACTTTTCAAATACATATTGTCCTTGCCTGTTTGTCTCAGGGTGAGAAGTATCTCGTCCTAAAGAAGAAGTACAGGCAGATGCTGCAGGATCGAGACGCCAGACTTCACGGGACGGACGGAGACGCTCAGAGAGGTTCGAGTCCGGCCCGCGCTCCGGCTGCTGCTCAGTGGGACGCCTCGGACCCCTCCACTTCTTCTCATCAACAGAAGGACCCGCGGGACGAGCCCATGCTGTGTGGAGAGCAGGACGAGGCTGCAGAGGTGACTTTAAAACCAGCTTCTATTCTTCTATATCTCTAAACACACTGGATGATAAGGGACAGCTTCATCCCACCGGCCATAAGACTGTTAAACACCTGCACTTATGAAAGAACAACCATAACATTCATCTGTTTGCAACTCATATATATCAATATATATATGTCATAACTGTTGCTATGAACACATGACAATAAAAGCCTTGAACCTTGAATCACAAACACCAATTGGGGCTCAAATACTAATAGCTAAATCTGCTATCAGCCCAGCACTCTTCTTGTGAAAGACGCATTTATTGCTAAACAAGGCCATCGTTGTTAGTGTCCTCTGCCTTTCCTCTACACTGCCTTGTGTCTGGTTCACAGAGGAACACTGGTACGTATCTAAGTTAGCCATGAAAGCACGGGACGGTCAGAGAGCTTATGTCTTTACATAAAGGGCAGAGCTGTTTCAAACTAATGCACAGAAGCACTTGTGAGACAAAACCCTAGAAAGGGCGGTTTAATGCACCATAATCCTCTGGTAGTACTTCTACATATTGTCCCTGCTGTAAACTTGAGCATTTAATCATAGGTTTGAAAGATGTATTTTGTGCAGCTGTTTTAATGTCCTGACACATTATTTGCTCAAACAGGCATTACATCAACATGTATCCACACCCAGATGGTGCCGGCAAAGTGTCAGCTAAAGTAAAGTCTGTTCTTGTGTTGGAACAGCAGACAGGAACAGCCTCCATGCAGCACGCAGTTCTGCAACTTCCTGTTATCCAAATCCAGGAACCCTCCAACGAGGACGATGAGCTGGACAAAGATTCGGGGTCAAAGGTGACGATTTGGCAATGCTGGAATTGAGCTTATCCTTGCTTACATTACCGATGACTGTAGGAGTGGATGTTGTATTTGGTTTGAGTCCGAAGCTATGAAATACTTTAGCAGCTGGAAAAAGGCAGATATGACTCTGAGCTGTAGAGGTGAGTCAAATAGTTCATGCACAAAAAGTTAAAGATCACCATTTTGCGCTCACATCTACAATTAAATAGCCACCAAAGCTATCATTGTGAATGACAGATTTAAAGACAACAAGTAGGAGTTGTTTTAGTTGCCTTATACACACAGAACTTGTAACAACACATTGCATGCGTGCTGTGTTCAAGACGTCTTATTTAGAATCAGTTTTGCAACGTTTTTATGCCAAACTTTAAACTATTAAAACACTGACAGGAAGCTCGGTTGATTTAAAATCACAAACAAATATGATTTAGTAAAAGATAAATATCCCTAATTATACACACATATGATTCCAAATAACTGTGTGGCTGATCTTAAGTATATTTAATGTCACAATAACCAGTGAACTTTGAGCCATGAAAAGCCGACTGCACAGATACACCTCCCTGAACAACAGCTGCTGGACGAGCCCCCGTGGGTTACGGCCCGGCTCATAGGCTGCAACAAAGATGGGAGACCAGACAAGTTAAGTGTAACAAAAGCATATTTATTTACAATCCCACAAAAACCAAAGGTCTTCAAAGAACCTAATAAATGTGGTAATGATTGCGTGTGTGAAAATGTGCAGAAACAAAGACGCGGCCGTGTCCAACAGAAGAGTGAGAGCGCCCGGCGGCCCAGGTGTGGCTCATCAGGTTGATCACCGGAAACACAAACAAGAGCCAGGCAGCAGAACTCAAAGGTAGAGACCCCTAGTGGAGTGGAGGGGGTCATAGCAGTGTGGAAACTAGTTAACAAGCCAAGAGAACAGTCAAAGATAAGGATCAAAGTAATACATATATGGTTTCAATGTCCATCTTCTGCCACTCAGTCATAACGATACAGTACGAATAGAGAATTGACCGAACCAGGTTAAAAGAAGGGGAAAGAATGACCTAAAGATACTCAATTATCTAATCTGATGTGTTAAATTAATATTGTAACAACTTTTAGTTTGATATAATAGTGTTGAGTAACATCCACTTCAAATTCCATTCAAAAGAACATATTTGAGGAGTTGTTTTTGGAGTATTTGAGGTTATCTGACAGGGACGTGGGGGTCAATAAACTGACCTACTTTTCTAATCATCATATTTCACAACTAGTTACAGTTTCATTCAGGGCGGATCTGAAAAGCTGTGAAATAGTTTATAGACATGTCAGGTAAAATAGCTGTTGGACTTTACATTCATATCAAAAGGAACATTTACACAACATATGGTAAGATATCATTTTAGGGAACAATGACAAAGCAAATAACACACTGTTTTAGTGTCTGGTCATTCTCAGTCAAACATAGACAAGCTGTTGAAGTCACCTGATGCAATATATTATAATACTCTTTATATTTCAAAACATAGACCTCAAATATTGTGGTGGAAATAACTTTATGCAGCTCTGTTTGAACTGTTTATGAAGACACAGGGGGGTCAAACTCAAATACACAGTGGGCCAAAATAAAAAAGTGGGTGCTAGTCGAGGGCCGGACTGGTTCAATGTTTAGTGCAAAACGTATTGAAATGAACTTATTGCACATATTAAACCTGGAACTAACAAAGCTTAAATTGTTGCCTATAAAAACAACATTAAATAATCAGTTGCATTCATTTCTTATGGCTCTATCTGCAGAGTCATTTCTCATGATTACATTTCTCCACAGGCCAACAGCAGCTTCAAAAAACTATTCCCCTCCTTTATCTCAGTGTGCTGCTCTGTGATGCTAGCTCAGATACTTGGCATCTCATCTTGGGTGCAAGCTCATCGATGTTTGGGCTCAGGCTCTGAGCTGAGGAGACCCTCAGGATGGAGTGAAGGTGTGCGTGCAATATACCGGCGGGCCAGATCTAATAGTAATTAAAAATGATCCTGCGGGCCGAAATTAAATCCACCAAGGGCCTGATTTGGCCCCCGGGCCTTGAGTTTGACACATGTGCACTAAACCATTAACACTGTTTTAATTTCTCATTTTGATTGAAACCTTTTTGTGTCGAAAGAGATGAACTAGCACTATAACTGTAAGCTAAGTGGACTTTAACTCACACATTTAATTTAATATTCCATTCCTTACACACTTAAAGTAAATAATATCCTGCTTTATATTGTGTTAACTGAAAGTTCACCCTTCAATAGCGTTGTGTTTGTCAGATGTGTATACCTTGTTTATCTTCACGGTCAACTTGCCTACTGTTTTATTTCCATTTTGAGATGTTTCTATTTTAGCATTGTTTATTTCTACACTTTTAATTTCTACTTGTGTTCAATGCCTTGTTTTTTATGCTGCTGCAACGCAAACATTTCCCAATTTGGGATCAATAAAGTACATCTTATCTCATCTTAGTGGTTAGCACCTAATGCAATTAAACATTATCATAATTAAATTCATTTAAATTCCGAAAAATATCATTAAAATGTGTTTTAAGCTCAGAGGAAGAGCACCACCTGGACTGACATTAAAAACGGAACATTTCACCTCCTTCAGCCACCAGGGGGAGCTAAGTAAATCCCCCAGATGTGCACCCTGCAGTATGTGGAGCTGAGTGGGAGGAGGACCCATTGGGGGAGAATCAGCATCTAAATGAATCTCTCTGTTATGTTAACCAGCAACATGTTGGAACTCATTAGAAAGATAATAATCATTTGTGTCCATTAAAGACATTGAGATGCGTCCCAGAGGAAGGTATGTGGCGCTCCTTGATGACAGACGGAATATGTTGGAGTGTAATACAGCAGCAGTATTCAGATTAGGTGCGTTTGCTTAAGGTATTAGTCACACCATTGAAGTTTATATTTGGGACACCCAGTGTGGAGAGTTGCTTCATATTACACAAGCTACCAGGCGGGTTTTTATAAACTATTCTAATCACACACCTGAGGCTGGAGGCTTTAAAAGAGAAGGGGATTTATGACATCAGGCTCCAAAATGCAGGAGGGACTCTCTGGAGTGAAGCTGTGTGCAAAAGGGGGGCACCAGCGTCTTAGGAAACTGTCCTATTTTAGTGCTTTAATCGAGTCAATTCTGTCTTTTTCACTAATGTCATGGTTGGTGACCTGTCGGATCGTAAAGGGGTCCAGCACTGATCGGTGAGCCACAGCTGAACCTGGAGACCCTGTACCTCAGGGCAGTGACAGCGGTTATCCAGCTCCATATTAGACGATGATGTCTCCCACCCTCTGCACTCAGAATTCAAGCTTCTTCCTTCGTAGAACGAAGCGGTATAAAAACAGTTTTATCCCAGCAGCTATTGCACACATTAACACATCATAGGAGCGGCACACAGATGCCTATTTTGATTGATTTAATTATGAATTTTAAATGGCCATGTTTGTACTAGTGTTTTCCTTCTTAAAACGTTTTTGAAATATTTTGAGATTTGGTTGAGCAGGGTATACTTGTACTTTTACTAGTCCTTTTAATTAGAGATGTGTCTGTTGTTTGTGTTCAAATAAATAACCTGAACCTGGGATGGAATAGAGAAAATGATAGTGTAAATATATCGGTAAGTTAAGTACAAATAAATTGCAGTACTTGCATGCAAAATACATTTTAAAGTACATTTTTAAATAGTTTTCCATTATATCATTTTTACTCCAGAAAGAAAGAGTCTATCTTGGAGTAAAACATGTGTCATGCTCATATACAACTTTCCCTTATCAGAAATGTGTTGGTGTCTTTAGGAGAAACGATAGCGTGGACGATGCAAGATTGACATCAATATAAGAAAAGCCTAGCTTAGCATTGTTAGCATTGATGTTAGCATTCAGCTCAGTCCAGCCTCACTAAGTTGCGAGAGATGCCGCAGACTCTTGTTTAAATATCCAACATTATAACTGTAGTTATATATCTTACTCTGTTTAAAAACACAAGAAGAATCCTCCGTGTGAAATGTCATGAGAGACCACTTTCTACTGGTGGTCAGCTGATCATATGCTCCAGAATATTTACACATGTTGTTAGACGCTTTTATCCAAAGCGACTTACATACTCAATACTGTGGGCAATCCCCACAGGAGCAAGGGGTGAAGTGTCTCACAACGACATGCTGACTGCAGTGGGGTTTGAACCTGTGCTCCCCTGATCCGAACACCAACGCACTAGCCCACCGCGCCACACGCCTCCATCTGATGCCCCCTTTACATTAAAAACTTTCTTCAAATGAGTTTAGGCTATAAAACATACAGTTTCACTTCACTTCTCCTCAGGTCAATACAAGACAAACAAAAAGGGCTGTTCCAATCAGTTCAACATGAATCGATACGTTGGTTTTATTTACATTGCATTTGTTGGTTTCTCTGTTTAAAATCAATATTAATAGAACCTATAGGCGTCACCTTGAACGATGGAGAATTGGGTAATTTACAGTGTTTTCTGCCAATTCAAACCAGAGGAATATTCTAAAAATAATGAATGACGAATCAACAATGAAAATAATAGTTGCAGCGCTAAAATATCCTTAATGAAAAAAATCAAAGAGCTTTTCCATGCTGAGCAGTGTTTTGTTTCTGTCTCTCTCAACCCCAAAAAATGTTCTTGTGCCTGAGTGGAGTCGGCTGGATAAATACAATCGTCCACTTCCATGTTCAGCACGCTGACGTGTGACAGTTTGAGGCAAGAGACTTGAAAGGCCCGAGTGTTTTAACATCGTGTCTCCGTAAGATCTGAGAACAATTTCAAGTAGAAGGATAATAACCCCCCTCTCATAAATCAGCCAGTGACACTTTTATACACCGCTACACTACACTGCTGTTTCTATACTTCCCTTTCACTTGGCCCCTTGATACTTACATGGTTGATGCGGCCTGGCTGTTGGCGTGTTGTTTTTTTGGTTAATTGTTAATTGGATTGTTATTCATTATCCCTTATGTGTGAAAGCGGCACCTTTGTCTCGCTGCCTCGTTACCCCTCGATCTGTCTGACAACCCTTTGGTCGCGTCTCGTCAGCTGAGGAACATCACACGCAGTCTGGGAGTGATGGAGAGTGTGTGTATTTGTGTCCTATGACGATGCTGTGTGACCAATATGTCTGATATAGACATTATGACTGATATGTTTACAGTCTACTTCCCGTCACCCCTGAGTAACAGTCCTGTGTTTTCTGTCTTTCAGTCGGGGTCAGAGCAGGACGAGAGAGTACGGGGCAGTAGGGGATCGGCTGCTGTCGCTGTGAGTCTTTCCTTCCTCTTTTAAGGGTTTTCTAATAGGTTACAAATGGATAGAGAAGTTAAAGGAAAAAGCTTTAAAGATGATCATTGAAGTTTAGTCCTGGTAATCAACAATTCCCGGGGTGTCCCTACTCCTTCCTTTCTAACCAGAGGTGTGGATTTGACTCAAACTCCAGTCAAAAGTCGGATAATCGTAAACAATTTGAATGAAAAAAGGCTTGTAACTTGACTTGGAATATAATATGAATGACTTGGGACCTAACTTGGAGTTGAGTCCACATCTCCTCAAATCCACGTTGTTTAGACCAATCCAATCATCATCCTAACCTAACAAGTTGCAGAAAGAACCGATAAGAACTAACGTTAAGTTACTGACTGCTTGTTAAAAAAAATATGCCAAAGATACATTTGTTTGTGTACAAAAACTGTGAAAAACCAGACGTATATGACTTGCTTGGGACTTTAAACTCAAAGTATACGACTTGAGACTTGTCTCTCTTGACTTGGGTTTTGAGTGCTAAGACTTGAGAGTGACAAATGACTTTCAAAACAATGACGTGGTCCCAGCTCTGCTCTAAACCACCAGCAGAAGTAAGAGTATGAACTGCTGGACTCTGTGCAGTGCATCATGGGAGTTTCCCTCTCTGTGTCAGTTGGCTGGGACTCACTCATTTGTAGGAAATGGATTATAGGCTTCAGCACGATCTATAGAGCACACAACAGGATGTGGACAGTAGTGTGTTTGTGTGTGTGTGTGTGTGTGTGTGTGTGTGTGTGTGTGTGTGTGTGTGTGTGTGTGTGTGTGTGTGTGTGTGTGTGTGTGTGTGTGTGTGTGTGTGACCTCACTCTCCTCTCTCTCTATGATAGCTGGATCCCATAGAGAAGGAGTGGATCTACTCGGCTGCAGGTGCTCGAGTCCCTGACCTCTCTCAGCTGCTCATACAAGACCCCTCGCTGGCAAACAAAGGTAACGCCACGCTGGATTGCATCTTATGGTC